GCGGCCGTGCGGGGCCGCGCGGGGCCGTGGGGCGGCCCGGGGCGCGGAGCCGCCCGCCCGCGGGGGCGCCGCGTTACCGTGTGAGGCGGGTGCCGAGTTCTCGTGGTGTTTTGTGCGGCGGCTGCGATAATGGCGTCCTTCCTCGCGAGAGATCCGCCGCGCTGCCCGCGCCGCGCACGCGCCGCGCCCGCGCGCCGGGCGCATCAACTCCCCCCCCACCCCGCCCTGCGCCGCCGAGGCGCCGCGAGGGGCAGAACCGGACTACAGCTCCCAGAGGGCACCGCGCGCGCCCCCGCAGGAGCACGCCGGGACCTGTAGTACGCGCGGGGGACGCGGGGCGTGCCGGGAAGTGTAGTCACGGAATCACGGAGTCAGGGAGTCACTGAGGGTGGGAAAAACGCTCCGGGATCAGCGAGTCCAACCTGTGACCGATCCCTGCCTTGTTACCCAGCCCAGAGCACTGAATGCCATGTCCAGGCCTTCCTTGGACACCTCCAGGGATGGGGACTCCACCACCTCCTCGGGCAGCCCCTTCCAATGCCTGACAGCCCTTTCCAGGAAGAAATTCCTCCTCATGTCCAACCTGAACCTCCCCTGGCACAGCTGGAGGCCGTTTCCTCTGGTCCTGTCCCTTGTTCCCTGGGAGCAGAGCCCGACCCCCACCTGGCTCCATCCTCCTGTCAGGGAGTTGTGGAGAGCAGAAGGTCCCCCCTGAGCCTCCCTTTCTCCGGGCTGAGCCCTTCCAGCTCCCTCAGCTGCTCCTGGTGCTCCAGACCCTTCCCCAGCTCTGTTCACTTTCCTGGACACACTCCAGCCCATCCGTGTCCTTCCTAAAGTCCACACCTCACCACCCCACACCCTCACCCACACAACAGCCCCCTCACCCTGTGCCCACCCTGAGCGCACACAGAGCCCTGAGGGTTCCACACAACCCTCTGGCTCAGAGGGACCCCCCTGTGCTCCCCAGGACATTTTGGACAATGCAGCCCAGTGTTGTGTGCACTGATCCCACAGCTTGTGATCACGGCCTGCTGTTCCTCCTCCAACAGCATCTCAGACCACTGCAAACCCCATTATTCCATGTCTTTTTTATTGCTTCCAGACCTGCCACAGTCCTTGGCCAGCAAGTCATCACCCAGCAGATCATAGTGTATCTGCACCTCAAAAGCCACTCACACACATTCCCATCCCTTACTCCTTTCTCTGCTCCTTCCATCAAATTCCTCCCAGATCTCCTGAGCACCTGAAGTGGGATGAGCTGGGTGAGAGCTGTCATGTTAAGGAGGACAATGTCCCCGTGCTCAGAGCACAGCTGAAGGGAGGCAGTGAGTGGGAATTTGCTAAATGAACTCAGCAGCCTGATCCTGCTGCTGCTCTGCTTCTGAGTGTGTTGTGAGAACAGAAGGGCAGGGAGAAGGTGGGAAATGGTCTGTTCACCTCCTGGGAAGCATAAAAATATGCAAAAGCCCAAAAAAGAAGCATGGAGGAAGTATGCAAGCGGCTCTGAAAGAAGACAGAGATTAGACTGTTTTATACGTTTATATATCACAGTGTTGCCCAATAAAGAACATCACCATACTTCATTTTTCAGCTTCAGTGGTGACCTTCAGACTTTTGTATAAAAATATTCCTTGAATAAGATGCTTAATCCACTCTAGTTCAGCTGTAACTGGTTATCCTACAGATACAACTCCAGACCTAATGGGGCTGTTCCTGGGTCGAAATGCTGTTCTCAGGTGCTGTAGCTTTGTTCTAAAGCGCTTTAGTCCCTTCTCAAGTCAAAGTTTTCAGTATTAAAGAGTTTTCATGAGCTTGGGAATTAACAACTGGTGTGTCAGGAAAAGCCTTGCTCCTGCATCCAGATTTGTAACTGCTCAGCCAAGTCTGTTGATTTACTTACTGTGTTCTCTCCCTTCACAAGTAGATTAGGCAGTTCAAAGGTTAAACTACTTATAAACTGACTTTTCAGACAGGATTATTTCACACTTTGCTGCAGGAATTTGCCCTGTGACAGTTTTGCTATAGAGTGTCTGCTGGACTCAAGGAATTGCCAGGTCTCAGCCTGGAAAACAGGGATAGAAATATCAATGTTCTACCTGCTGTGGGAAGCTGCTGGTAAAAACCTTTGTCATCCTAAACCAGCCTGATATAAAAGATGTCATGATTTCTTATCCCCTCCCAGATTATTAACTCCTGTTCTGCTGAAGGTGTGAGATCCTGCTCCTCTGCAGAGCCCGGGAATCATTTCTCAACACAACACAAACAGAAAAACTGTGCCTGTCATAAACCAATTATAGTATTTATCTAAGGGGGGCAAATTAACTGGAAATACTGGCGGGATCCAACTGATCTCTGCAACTTTGATCAGAGATAACAGCACAATAAACCAATAATATAACAGTTTATCACTAAGAAAGGCTGCAGCACCTTGTGCCAGGAAGGAAGTCCACTCTGATCCAGCAAGATGGAATCTGCAATTAACTTACCCTTTGTTTTTACCTCTTTACCACAGCAATGACTTTGGATTTTTTTCCCTATCATTTTCCCAAAGCAGGGGATGTTTCCTTTTCAAATTTTGAATTACACCAATAAATCATGATAGGACTCCATTATCACAGCTTATCCCTTGTGCCATGGAGATGGACAGAGCCAGACCTGACAAACACTTCAGAAAGTCTGACTGCAAACCTTGGGAAACAGCAGGAGAAAGAGGATCTTTCTGTTCCCAACCTCCAGTGGAGACCTACATTGTGCTCAATCAGAAGGCCCAAATTTGGCTTTCAGTCTTTAATTCACATGAACACATGAATGACTGAGCTCAGGAGAATTGTTTTCTGTGCTTCACAATCTCCTGAGCTTTAGGAGCTTTCAAAAAATGAGCTCACCTGACTCTTTCTGCAATAATTGAATGAAATTCAGTATAATCCCCCTTCAGTGAATGAGGGCTTCATTTCACCACGGGATAAGAGTCTGTCCATGAGCAAACACCAGCAAGAAGTTGATACACTGGAAGTTATATTCTGATTTAAACCATGGTAACTTGCTCAAGTGCCTACATCAAATCCAGTCTTATTTTCCTTCCCCCATATAAAAATGAGCAAAAACTTCAGAGTGTGATACATCAATTTAGCTTTTTAATTTTAAAGAAGAAAATACATTTTGTTGCCGTGTTAGTTTGTGTTCCCAAATAAAACACGGGGGTTTTTTTTGTTTTATTTCCTCACCCTTACCATCCTCTTTTTTTTTTCCTAGTCTCTCTTTTGCATTTTATTTCTGTGCTACCATTTCTCTGCCATGTTATGAAGAATCATTTGGTTCCAGGAAATATCCAGCTTATTTTACCCTTGTATCAGCATTCATTTACTATTGTTTTCTGAGGAAGTTGCTGCTTTCACATGTTTTGTGTGGATCAGGAGAGATTGGTATCTCATTCATTGGTTTCCTTTTTTTTGTTGTTAGGAAAAAAAAACCTTTCATAGCATCAAAGGTAAAAAATTAACACACTGCACACGATTTTGCAGCTGCAGCAGCAGCAGGAAAACAAAGGTTGCCAAACAAAGCATTTGTTTAAACAAGTGACAGGCATTCCTAATTATCCTCACTGCTGAGCAAGAGGATACAGGAACAAAGGGATGAAGAACACACAAGATGTGAGAAGGGCACAGAAGTAACTCCAGAGGATTTGCTGTAAGAACTCTGTAGGAATAATTTTGGTTCCTATGGATAAAATCCTCAACCACACCCTGTGCTATTAAAAGCAAAAAGAGTACTTGAAGTTCCTCTGTTTATTCAGCGTTTATTTGAGTTTATTCATATTCTGCACAACATCTCTTGTAACTGGAGAGGGACACAAACCCAGCCTGGTGAACACAGCAGGTCCTACATTGGGACAGTGATTCTTAATGAAAAGTTATATAAAATACATTTTTAAAAGAAGACAATATTAATATTATTTGTAAATGTGATGTAGCAGCATATGAGGAGCAACTGAGGGAGCTGGGGGGGCTCAGCCCAGAGGAAAGGAGGCTCAGGGGGGACCTTCTCCCTCTCCACAACTCCCTGACAGGAGGATGGAGCCAGGGGGGTCGGGCTCTGCTCCCAGGGAACAAGGGACAGGACCAGGGGAAACGGCCTCCAGCTGTGCCAGGGGAGGTTCAGGTTGGACATGAGGAGGAATTTCTTCCTGGAAAGGGCTGTCAGGCACTGGAAGGGGCTGCCTGGGGAGGTGGTGGAGTCCCCATCCCTGGAGGTGTCCAAGGAAGGCCTGGATGTGGCACTCAGTGCTCTGGGCTGGGTGACAGAGGGAAGATGGAGCACAGGTTGGACTCTCCAACCTCAGTGATTCTGTGATTTCTCCTTTTATCAACACAAAACTTCTCTGCTGTTGAAATCTTGTTAGTTTTCCACCTCCAAAAAGAGGTTCCTCATCACTTATTTTTCAGACACCACATCCATTTCCAATCCTCTCAGAATTGTTCTTTGATTTATAACAGAAAAATGTCAGGATCAAGTGGGTTTTGCTCGTGAACCTACTTTACCTATCTCTGTAACATTCTCTGTTCCAGCTCTGATCTCACTTCTGGTTTATGCTGAGTAAACTCCATTTTATTCGATGAGGATATTCCTGATTTTCATGGATGAGGATGAAGGAAAAGGCCTTGAATTCCCTCAGCAGGGAGAAAAATGTTGTTACACATTTTGTCATCTGGCTGGTCAAAGTTCATGGTCTTGCAGGGTCATTTCTGTCAGTCTGAGAAACAAGGCAAGAAGGGTCAGGCGTGATCTCAGTGTTCTCTTATTTATTTACATACTCTCCCATCTCCCTGAATACCTCATGGAAAAATAATGATGGGAGGCTATTTCCCTTCTGAGAAATCTGCCACTGGCCCCAGGCCTGTATTTACACTTTGCCTGACTGTGATCTTCCCTGAATCCCGCTTCCAGCTGGTTCTGTGCCCTTTTCCCTCCCTTACATAGCTGATGTTTGCCCAGCTTTGTTCAGGTCTGCCCCAGAGCATGTTTACTTGGTCAGGTACCATCATCATCATGACTCTTTTTTGATCCACTAGGATTAATAAAGTCTGAAGGGGAGCTCATTACACCTACTGATTTTAGAGGATTTTATCCTTCTATTGCTCTAAGCAGAATTTGACCATCTCCTACTTCTGGACCTGCATCTATTTAAACACGTGTTCAAAATTATATGCAATGTAACCCTATTTTTTCAGGTATGGAGGGTAAAATAAAGTGCCAGGTTGACAGAATGTCCCCTCAGCACCCTTCCACACAGCCCCACGTGTCAGGGCTGCCCTTCGGAGCCATCCGGGCGATCCAGGTCAGCCGGAACTGCAGGAAGAGCAACAGAGGCAAATTTCAAGCCCTGCACTTTGGGATGGTGTAATCCTGTGCTTCCCTACAACCTGGGGACTGAAAAGTTCTGGAGACAGAGCTTTTCTCCAGTTCTGCAGTTCCAGGTGTTCTCCAGTAGATCCTGGGGAACATGTGGAACATGTGTCAGCAGTGCACCCTCACAGCGAGGAAGGTTCGTGGCATAGTGCAGTGTATTAGAGCTTTCCAGCACATCAAGGGACTATTCCCATTCCCCAGCACTTGTATGGACACATCTGGAATGTTCTGTCCTGTTTGGGGACCCCAATGAGGGAGAATGAATAAACAGAGGGAGCAGAGGTGGTTGCCAGGCTGCTGAACTGAGTCACACAAGGCGTCCCAGCAAAGTGTGGACATCAAAGAAAAGCTTCCCTTAGGCTGAGGTAAAATCTTCTATGGGAAGATTTCTCTGTGTGATGTGATGACAGACAGGCAGGTGTTTCATGAAAATATCACCAAGCAAAGAAGTTTCTAAGTCAAAACAACAGTTTGTTACACAAGCAAACAAAAAACCCACACAACTCCCCAAAACAAACATACAGAAAACTATTAAAAATATTTCACAGGTAATTTTATGATTTACTGAAGGAGTTGGGTTTAATGGCAAATTTCTAATAGCAGAATGTTAATTTTAATAGTCTTATCATTTATCATTTCTTCTTGCTCTGTCATTGATAGATTCTGTAGCTTTCAAAATACACCCACCTGTGTATTTAATGAAAGAAGATAATCACATGGGTGTTGTCAATTCTGACAAGGGAATTAAAGGCCTCACAATCCTTTTGCTCTGGCATGACCCTGAGACCACCACCAAGTTTTAATGGCCTTGAAAAGCCTCACCTGCAGGCTCCACCCACTCCCAGGAGCCAGGAGCCCACTTAAGCCTGAGCTTGAGCCTTGGCCTCTCAGCTCTGCTGTCGGGTCACTTCAGGTTTGTCTTTCTCCTGTCCTCAGGAAGGACTTTGTATTCTTATTGCTGCTGCCCTTTAGCCCTGTTACCTTTTGCTCCTGTCTGGGCTCCGTGGTTGGACTCTGGACCTGGTTTGTCACTGCCAGGGGACCCTTTGGCTCAGGCTCTGCTGTGCTGGGTCATCCTTGGATCCCTGCCTCTCTGCCATTGGAAAGGATAACTCCGTTTTCAGCGGCTCCCCATTTTCATTCCCACTTGACCTGTAATAATCTGTAACGTTGGGAAGTCTCCAGAGGAAGTGTCTGTGCCATTGATGTGGATTTTGGCCAGGGGAGGGAGAGCAAACATCCCAAAGAAAATGCAAGGGTGAGATTTTCATACACATCTTTCATGTAAGTCAGAAAAGTTATTGGAATTGTAGGTGGAAATAAGAAGACAGTAACATCCTTCTGGCTTTCATCTCTAAGAAAAGTGGGGCAGGGAAACATCTCCATCTGTTCTCCCCACTGAAGAAACACAAACAATTCACCTGGTTCCAAGTGGTGTGTGAGCAGAGAAGTAACCAGGGTTCCTTATGCCTGTTCCTATTTCTAGTCTGTACAAAATTAGGGGATGTTTTTTGTTCTTAACAAAATCTGTTATTTAGTTTGTTCTTAAATTCCTTACCTCGAGGCTGCAGTGATGCTGCCCAGAGCTAAAATGCTCCTCTCCCTGTTCTCCTCAGCAAGCTTTGCATATCTCCTGGATTTCTGGGAATTCCTCAGTTTGAGCAGTCACCAGCCCTCAGCATTCCAGCTGTTCCTGATAGCAATTCCTGGCTATCAGTATTCAAATACACAACTATTCATTTTCAAAGTGTGTAGCCTGAAGAAGTGATAAGAAACTTCTCCTTGCATTCCAAAGAGGGGCTTTCTGCAAGCCTGTTCTTTGAGCCAGATGAGGGGAAAAAAAGCCTGGAAAGCACATGTAGAATAATCATCAACCAGTCAGGCCCCTCTGAGGAAATGCAGAGCCAATGAAGAAGACAGTCCAGGGACAAGTTGAAAATTAACCACTTAGTTGGCTCCACCTCTGAACCAGCAAAGGGTGCTCTCCAATTTTTTCAAAAATAAGCCTGGTGACCCCTCAGTTATCTCGGAGCTCTGTATACATAAGTTTTTTTTCCTCTTTGTGTTCACAGGTCCATCGAGTCTGGACAGCTCCTCTGAGTGAGGAAGTGAAGATTTTAAGTGCCCTGGTGGTGGCAATGAATGGTGTGAAGGCAAAAGCCCTGGGGTGTCTCTACCAGCAGCTGAAAAGCCTCCGGAGCCCAGCACGGCCCTGCAGCCTGGCTGCCTGCTCCAGGAAAAACAGGAATGCTGCCTGTAAGTGCGTTTCATTTTATCCAAAAATATTGGATATTTGCCTAATGGAGATGCTGAGGTAGAAAGAGAAAAGGTGTAGTTAAGCCTTGTTCTTATTTGTTAGGTAATCAAAAGGGGGAACCTGAGAATGTGACTGAAGGATGAAAGAAAAAAGAGCGAGAGGAACTAGAGATGGAAATACCTTATGGAATTGCAGGATTAAAATGTTGTTCTCTATTTCTGTTGTCAGTGCTACCAGGTTGTTTGGGATTTTCACTTGTGACTACAGTGAAGAAACAATATACAATCGCTACTTTCTAACTTGGTCCTGCAATGTTTGACTGGTCACACAGAAATAAGGGTAACTCAAAACACATTTAACACAAGTTGAGTCTGACTTTGAATTTCACGGACACCACAATGTTTAATCTTGAAAATGAGGCCCAGTACAAACCAAAACCTTTCTAAATGTGCTGTACAGATATACAATAAATCACTGTGAGGTGCAGGATACTACTGGAAGATGTTAAAAATTTAGTTATTTAAAATACTGATTAAGTGGCTTATAGATAAGATGAGGCCACCAGAGGTTGTGTGTCTGCACAGATAACGTCAGCTGGAGAACAGTTGAGTCATTTTTTCCATTTGGAAAATCCTTTTGTTTCCTATTTTTTCCTCTTGAAATGTATTCAGTTTAACTTTTCCCAAAGAACAGCCAGATAGATCCCTGCTTGAATACTGAGGTGTGATTCCTTTCTTTTTCAGTTACCAAACACCAAATTTTGTGTTTACTTAATTGATGAGAAAACAGATGATTTTGTGTCACAAAGTTTTGTTTCTATTGAAAGCCAGAAGAAATATTCAGTAATTTCAATGTTTAATAGCTCTGCACTTGTAAATGCATTTTTAAAAGGCGATTTTTAAATCTACAGAAGATGCCTAATCTTAGAAGCAAAATTAGTATTGAATTGTTTTACCAGTGAAACAACCACAAGGAAGAGCCTAATTCCTAATGCAAAATGAAAATGATCCCACTTGCATCCATGACAGTGTTTTCCTCTTTTCTGACCTGTGCAGAACTTTCTTAGCACAGCTCAAAGGTCTCTTGAACTTTTACTTCCTTCCCTACCAGTTTTGTCTTGACAAGCAGGCTCAGAAACTTCATTTTCCTGATTAAAATAAGGAGAAAGACATTCTTCCTCTATTCCAAGAAAAGCTCTACAGTAAAGTTTAGAAAAACAATGATTCAGCCTCATAAAATAATAGCTTTTCTAACAAATTAGTATTAATTAGGTACATGTAATAGTAGCTTTTCCACTGAATTCATATTAATTAGATGTGTTAATTAGTCCGTCAATACACAGATGGGTGGGTGCACATGAGGGAATATATTCACAAGCACTGTCCATATTGCTCCTTTATCTCCAGTTTGTGATAAACTTTTTCAATTCAAGAGCCAAAACCCAAACCTCTGCCAGACAGTGCAGTGCTGGGCTCCCACAAACTGCTCGTGGTGACAGGAATTACTGCTCCAGAGGGGAAATCCAGAGAAACCCCTGGAACTGTGGTTAAAAAGGTCATTATTCTGTATCTTTATTCATTATTTTTTATAATTTATTCACTATTTTTATATTTGAAGACACAAACAGAGATTGCAAGTGAATATTTATTATGAGTCCAACAACTTCCAATGTGGAGACACAGACAATATAAATCATTAAAAAGTAATGGAATTCATGAAAAGGCAGCACAGGATCCCTCTATGCAATCCCAATTCTTCTGCTTGTTCAGTGTTAACATCCCACAAAATTTTATGGCCTATGGAGTTAAGAACTTTAGGAATGGAATTTATTAGGCTGAAGTGTTCCATTTCTGTTCAGTCACAGAAGGTGTAACTGTAGGAAAACTATCTGCAACTGTTCAGTGGGGCAAGAAGTCAAACTGGAGAAAAACTGAGTTCTCCAGATTTCCACATGGAATGGAGAATTATTTTATGGTTACACATAAGAAGAGATCCCATTCCAGGAAAGGATCATCCCACGCTGCTCTATCGAAAGACCACTGAATAAATAACTACAATTGGTATCTATTTTTACTCACATTCCTCTTTTTTATTAATGATTGACAATATTTATTACTTAAATCTTTCTCTACTCCGTGCCATTCATGCAGCAAATGCCAAAACAAACTGATTTAGGAAAACATTCCCTTTGGAATGGCTGGTTTTGGCAGGCAGTGAGTAGACAGGAGCACTGAGTAAGACAAGTCTGGGGGTTATTCACAGTGAACTCGGCCCTTAACTGAGACAAGGGTTAAACAAGTTGAAGGCTGATACTTCCTAGAGCCTTTTTTTGGCTTCTTTTCCTGTGCTTCACTGGGAAAGAACTGTCAAAACACTGCTGAGGATCGTGGCATGTATGTAAGAATTCCTAGTGATGTGGAGGCCCACAGTGGATGTCTGTGCTAAGCTCTGGGGTACCTTGTAACTACATGTGGAGGTGCTGCTTTCAGACATTATTTGATTATAATAGTTTCTGGAAAAGCTCTCCATGGGGATTTTAAGCCTATGGATTTATTTTTAACTAAAATAAAATTTTAAATCTAGAATTGGATTATTTTAACTTTATCCCCAGTAATTATTGCCAGAGCAGACCTGAATGGCTTTTTCTTTTTAGAAGTAGTTACAAGAAAAGCAGAATCAAGTGCAGCAGTGCCACCCAGTCCAGGTGTGCCATCTCCAGGACTGCACAAACAACTGCAGGGACTCCCCAAATTGTCCAGGAGATATCTCCCAAGCCCTTTCCATGCCTGCATGCATAATTTTAGCAAATGTTTTTATACAGCAGAAGATAAAGCCTCTGTTTGCTTTACCTTGCCAAGTAGAATTACTTCCTCCTTATCTGGACTTAGCCTCAGCCTCTGCCTCCTCATCCAGCTCCTATCTCAGCCAAACATTCTGGAAGCAGAGAAAAGCTCAGCATTTCTCAATCTGTGCTGCTTCCCCGTGGAGCTCAGGGCACCCTGTCAGCTACATCCCTTTGATAAAAACCACTGGGCTGTTTATCAATAAACTGGCCCCAATCACAGTCCCCATCTGACATCAATTCAACTCAACTTCAACACCTTGTCACGATGGACCTCAGCCAACCATCGCTGTTATCCCCCAAAATCGTCATTCATACAAAAAAACCTTCCAAGAAATCAATCTATCCTGGATTTCCTTGGCAATATTCAACCCAAGTGGCTGAAGCAGAGTCTTTTAAAGTTTAAAATGGTTCTTTATTGAGTTTCAGGAATAAGTGTATTTTATTTTCTCACTCAGAATGTGTTGCTACAGCAAACAGTCCTGCCCAACTCAGGACAAAACCTTATTTCCTTCCCCTGGGTGGGGTTTCTCAGCTCTTCCCACCCTGTTGTCCTCCCTGTCTTATCTTGGATCTGGAGGAAGCTCGTTTGAAAATCTCTGTGTAAACAAATCAAAGGACTGGATTCCACAGATTTTTTCCTCTTTCTTTTAAGATTAAAACCATAAAGACTGAACTCTACTGAAGCTGAGCCATTTTACCCCTCATTTTCTAACCCCTATGTGAGATCTTCTGCCCAGGATGCTTAAATAGAATTTAACACTGAAGCCTTGAAAAAAGTTTTGTCTCTTTAAATCAAGTTTATAACAGTGTAAATTGGCAGTAAATCCTTTCATTTAACTCAATTTATTTTGGATTTTTACCACAGAACTGTGGCCTTCAAAATATTTGCTTGGAAACTGTGTTATGAGTTATAATTTATATACTAATTAATTATAATTTATATATTAATACAACCTGTATTTTCATCTGGATCTTGACTCCCAGCCAGAAGCTTTTGATACTTGTATCAATCCTAAATGGACTATTTAATTGCAGTTTTGGAGTAATTGTTAATAATAGAAAATAATTCCAAAGATTGGGACTATTTGGATGGCTCTGTATATCTACTTCAGCTGGGAAAGATAGGAAAAAACCCACAATGCAAATGTAAGAAGCCTCCAAATACTGTAAAATTAAATGGAACATCACTGTGTCTGTCTGGGAGGCCTAAAAATCAAATAAATCAAGCACAGATTAGGTCTGTTTGTGGCAGATCTCTCTTCACAGGTGATTTACAACTTGGTCATGCTTTTTATATGACAAAATTTACTGTAACTGCTCTGACCATAATAGAGATGTGTGTGTAACAAAGGTAAACAACAGACAGACCCATTCTCAGTGAGCAAAGGCTGCAAACTGCTCACTTCATTCGTAATTCCCACCTTGTCTTTAAGTAACTTTGAATATTTGAAAACAGATCTCGTAGATGAGGGTCCTACTTCTCCTTCCACACAGATCCTGCATCACTTGAGCTCATCCCTTGGGCCAATTGCCAGACTTCTGGTTGTGGAAACCATTCTGAGATCAGGAACAAGAGAGAAAAGAGCTGAAACCCTCCCAGATGGCCCAGAAATGTAACGATTTGGGGAAAACGGGAGAACAACAGGGATACTGTAATTCTGGCTGCTGTTCTCTCCAGCTTTAGCTGCATTAGAGCTATGTCTCCCTTGCACAATGCACCATCTCTAACTGGAGTACAGCCAACGGAAAACTCTGTTTCTGGAATGGTCCAGAAAAGATTTTGGCCACATTGCCTTAGTGCTTGGAACAAAGTTGAGGGCTTATGTTTCCTCTTGCACAGGTAGTTTTTGTTCTTCTATCTGCAGGTTCAAAGCAAAACATCTCACTGCCACAGACCATTTTGAAGGGTTTTTCTTTCACCTCTGAGAGAAGAAAAGGTTTCTTTTAATTAAATGCCAGCGTTTCAATGACGTTTATTCTCAGTAAGAAATAACGTGCACATAAAAGTTGGATGGAGAATCTACAAATGATTCAAAAGGAAAGCAAAAATATTGTGTCTAAATTATTTCTCTTTAGTTTTGCACTGGAACAGCCCACTGTTTCTCAAAGCATGTGCTGTAAGAACTTCCCTTTGGTTTTGCTCTTCAGCCCCCAAGAAATGACTCATTCTGTCCAGCTTAGTAACTCTGTAATAAACCTTTCAGGATCAACCCCCTAAAAAGCTCCATGGTGTTGGGTCATCTTAATGCCACAGTGTAAAGCAGGGAGAATAAACCCCAGACCCCCTATTTATGCTGAATATAAAATATCTGAAGTTTTGTCTGAGCTGTGATTAAGCTGAAGCTCATCTGGGCTGTCCTGATGACCAGGAGGTACCTGCTGTTCATCAGAAGCTTCAGCAGCAGACACATCTGACCTGTGCTAAATAATTGCCTAACCATGATCAATAAGCTGTTAAACTGTGATTAAGCCTGACTGAATCATGATGTTTATGGGCAGCAAGTCTTTTCAATTTTCTGAGTACTTATCTCTTCTTTTTAAGTTACAGGGAGCTCTATATGAAAATAGTAAATTAGCCTCCTGAAAAACATTGGGAGTCAAATCAAGAATCCATTTTGTTGCACTTGAACTCCACTACACAAAAAAGATTGTGCTTTAAAGAAGGTGTATCTTGGCAGGGAAGAAGCAAAATGAAATTTAAACACAGCTTACTGTCCTAAGATCACAAGCTGTTTGTACATCTCCTGATGATCTGTTTTCTGATTGTATAGCCACTCAAAGCAAATAACTCACCAGATTTCAACCTCCTCTTACTCAACTCAGGAGTACTTTAAACTGTGAATGCAATGAAAACGTCTTACATAATGTTGTAAACCAGAGCAAACACTTCTTGGTTGACTCTAGTTGAGTATCTAGTCCTGTCTCCTCTTCAGTAAAACATTGTCAATCCCACATCAGGTTTCTCATGAAAATTCAAAAGAACTCATCCTAACAAAAGAAAAAATCCCCAAAAGCGAAATGACATGTGTAAAATTATTTGAAGAGAGTAACTATGAAATAAGATTCAAAACAGATGGTAAGATGAAGGCCAGGAGCTGAGGGAGGTGTTCTGCTCCTGGCTGGCTGCCCAACAGCTGGCAAAAATGAGAACACTTTATCTCTGCTTTCACTGACATTCAGCTTTCTACAGGCTTTTCTTTATAGTGTGTTCCTCACTGGCAGGTAGATAAGAGAAAAGGTGTGAGGAGCAACCAAGGTTTTAACTAGTTTCATCAAGGTTTCACTGCCTCAAGCAGTGCTAGGTGAATATGAGTTGACTCCTTTTACCATCCAAGGTGGGGCTGTTTTGGCCTCCTGCCTTTGGGACAGCCAAGAAAAGTGGCCATAATGTTAACTTTTCCTAAGTTTTCTATATATAGTTTGGGGTAGGGACCTTGCTGTGCCAGGGCCACCCATCTCTGTGGGTGATGGGGATACTCTTGGTGAGAGGGGACACACTTTTGGTGTGATGGAAGACTTGGTGTGAGGAGATAGACTTGGTGCCAAACAATCGGTTTTGGTGTGAGGGAATAAATACTCTCTTGGTGTGAGGAGACACAGTTTTGGTGTGAGGGGATACTTTTTTGTTGTGAGGGAATGTACTTGGTGCAAAGTGATTGCTTTTGGTGTGAAGGGATAGACTTGGTGTGAGGGGAATAAATACTCTTGGTGCGAGGGGATGCTTTCGGTGTGAGGGGATGCATTTGGTGCAAAAAAATCCATTTTCGTGCCAGGGAATAAATATTCTTTTGGTGTGAGGGTATAGACTTGGTGCGAAGTGTGAGGGAATAAATACTCTTGGTGCGAGGGGGATACACGTGGTGCGAAGAAATCAGTTTTGGTGTGAGGGGATGCACTTTTGGCATGAAGGGATAGACTTGGTGTGAGGGAATAAATACTCTTGGTGCGAGGGGATACAGTTTCGGTGTGAGGGGATGCACTTGGTGAGAAAGAATAAATACTCTTTTGGTGTGATGGGACACACTTTTGCTGTGAGGCACAGGGACGAGCCTGCCCACGGGCAATGGCGAACTCGCACACACAGGGAACTGTTGTGGCTTCTCTACCGTTGTGACAGGATGGAACTCCGGTGATGTCGGCCCGCCCCTGAGGAAGCGCTGCGGGCCGGGCCGTACCGCCCCCACCCCGCCTCAGGCGGGGGCGATGGCGGCGGGGGGGCCGTGCCGGAAGGGGCCACTCTGGGCCGGGCCGGGCTGGGCGGTGGCGGCTCCGCGATGGCCCCGGCGATGCTGCCGCTGCTCCGCCGCGCTTGGGCGGCCGCCGCCTCCACCCGGCGGGGCACCCGCCGCTGCAGCCTGGGCGCCTGCTGCTCCTACCGCCTGCGAGACGCCCGTGAGTGCCAGCGACCCCCGCGACGGGCTGCCTGGGGCCGGGGCTGCGCTCACCCCTCCGGGCGAGCGGCTCCCAGCGCCCGAGGAAGGCAGGTCGCTGCCCCGAGCTCTCCCCGCTGCCCACCCCGCTCTCCCCTCCCCTCGCTGCCCTGTCCCTCCATCGCTCCCAGCCCCCTGCGCTGAGGGGGCTTAGTGTCGGAGCGGCAGGGACACCGAGTCCAGCCGGGCTTTGTCCGCGACTTCCTCGGCCGAAATGTCAGGGGGTGACTGTGTTTTGAATATAGAGCGTATTTTGTGCCGCGTTACCTGCGGCAGGTGACCTTATGTGGCCCGATAAAGTTTGCTCTTCTCTAGGAAACAGAGGGGGAAGGTTGTTTAGCCACCCGGCACGTGAGTGGTTTGTTAAAAGATTTGTCTCTAATGAAGTAGACTGTAATGTTTGGGGTTCGGTGGATGCACAGGGCACAAAAACCTGTCTGTGGGTCATCAGTGTCGGGGACAGCAGGTGAACAAGTGCTCCCCATCCACACAGATCTCAGGTCTGGTTTTAAACAGAATAAACTGTAGAAACTCCATCTGGGCATTTACCCAGTTATCCTGTGTCCAGTGCAATCCCAGGTCAGCTGATGGTACTGATGTCCAAGGAAAGCTGAAATGGAGTGCTGAGACTCTGGCAAAGCTGGAAAACAGAAGACAGCTTAAAAACCAACTGGCAATGAAAGGAAAAAATTCTTTTTTGTGGAATATAAGGAGAAAGAATTTCTTTGAAGAGCATTTTCCAAATGCAGAAAGGTACTGACACAGTTCTAAGTCAAATTAACTGTGTTTGCCTGTGTGGTTTTGAGTCATGCAGCTGGAATGTAATATTTTTGTTTTACTTTCCTGCTCATCAGCTGACTCAAATTAGCCTTTGGTGACAAAGCACCTTCCCTTGCCAAAAAGTTCTGAAGCGTTTAGCTCTGTATCGTGCATCAGAGCCTGACTCTCCTCATCATCTTCCAGTGCATCCACTTTGGCAGAGCCCACTGACAATTCCTGGAGGCACCCGACAGTCTCCCATCAACATCCAGTGGAGAGACAGTGTTTATGATCCCTTTCTGAAGCCTCTGAAAATCAGCTATGACCCAACAACATGTCTTCACATCTGGAACAATGGATATTCATTCCTTGTTGAGTTTGACGATTCTACTGATAGATCAAGTAAGCAAAACCCAGAAAAATCTATTTAATGTCTCATTAATACTTAGAGAGGAGATGTTGCGGGACGTGAATCTCAGGACAAGTGTTGAAGATGAATGTACAGTAAAAAATGCTGTAGCTAAACATGAATTTACAGTGGTGGGAATTGGAATGAAGGAAGTCTATATAGGATTCGTTTTTATTATGTTGCACAAATGCCCTGTTGTATGTTGAAACTTATTCCTATTGCACGAGCCTCAATGCCTTGTCTTTTAGGTCACAGCTTTGTCTATATGAGTCAATCTTCAGTCATATATATGTGTATTTACCTCTTTTAAATCAGATTCCATCACTGCACTTTATTGAAGTAATCTGCCACTTATCTTTTTTTGGGCTGTTAACAGTTATATTTAATGCATTTGAAATAATCAGCTGCCAAATTACCTGCAGTTGGAAAGCACAAATGCTTATCTCCATGGGCTTTTGGGGAGTTAAACAACACTGAGCTGCTGCCCAGGGAGCAGGTGTGTGTGTTCCTGTTGTTTTAGGGCAAGAGGAGTCGTGCATGGAAAATCCAGTCATGCATTCCAGCAATTTCATGGGAATAAGTCTCTGACGTGAGCAGCTCAATCTTTTTAAATGCTCAGTAGGGCCAAGTGAGTTAAAATCAAGATACTGCTCCCAAATTCCAGATTTTTTTGTTCCTTTTAAAAGTTGCCTTTACCAAAGGATATTGCAGGTATGTGTAAGGATATTTCATAAGGCAGGAGAACTGAGCATGTGATTACTCAGCTTGTCCTGGAGGGAGCAACTGAGAGACCCTGAGCAAGTTTGAACCTGTTGGATCAGAGTAATTTGTGTTTAAGGTGACTGCTCACTGTGAGAGATCCTACAGCTTCCTGAGGGATTTAGTAGTGCTCTTGGGAAGGGAGCTTTCAGCAAACAAATATTTTGTGTTCACAGTACCAGTATTTTTGATCGATGTTTGGAAGGAGGCTGATAATGCAGCAAAAATGGTGGTGGTGGTGGAATGCAGGGAGCTGGTGTGACATTTGAGGCTTCTTTTTTCTTTTATTGTTTCCAGCTCTTCACTCAGAATATCAGTTTCCAAGAGGGGATATTCTTGCTCTTGCTTATTTGAGAGCTGTTATATGTAATGGAGAAGCCAAGTCCCACCCTTCTGTTTCTGCAGCACAAACTGCTGTTGCATTATGGAGGTGGGATTAGGGGAGACACATCACTTGTCAGCTCATCAGTGATTTTAACTTACTAACTTTAGGTTAGGTTTGCTTTTAATTTAACAGCCTTTTGCTTTATACAGCCACACCCTGCTATCTGTTGAGGGATATGATCCTGAAAAGTATTTGGTGGATATCAAAGTTGGTTTTTCTTCTGCGAGAATCGATGTAACAGAGGGGAATTGCCTTTTCATCATCCTCATCTTCCTCAGATGAATTCAAGTCCATGAAGGGGTGGGATGGCATCAAACATCAGTGACAGGCACCAAAGTGACAGAGAAACACCAGATAGTGAGATGGTGCTGTATAACCCCCCAGTTTTCAAGTGCCTGTCTCTCTCCTCCACCTTTCTCTCTTTACTCTTGCCATTTCTGATTTTTCTTTCTGCCAGCTTCTGTCTAACAAGACTAGAAATCCAGAGAAGAAAGCTTGTGAACAAACAAAAGCAACACAGTTGAAACAGAAGATGGAAAAGACAAAATGAAATGTACACCCAGGATAGACAAAAATTCCCGAATCCTGAGATGAGGCAGAACAAGAGTTGGGCTAAAGCTGAAGGTAGTGCTGCTTGTGAGCAGAGAAGGAGGAGGAAGAGGGTGAGGGGAAGGTAGGTGCAGCACGTGGTCCTGTCTGTGTGTGATGCCATCAGGAAATGAGGCTGAAACAGAACCAGGGTTGCAATAAAAAGCTGGTGTGATTCTTTTCCCTCGTTGTTGTTACAGTTCCTTTAAACTTCTGGTTTGTTTTGAATTATCCAAATTGTAATTTGAGAGGAAATGCTTGTAAAGGGACTGTAAGTTCCTATTTGTTTCCTGTTACTTTCTGGTGTCCACTATAGGAATCTGAGTCTCTACATCTGTGTGTCTGTGCCTAAAGTTACTTGTGAGGCAAGTATTTAAGTGAATGTGATTATTAGCACAAATTTAGTCACTTGTGGGTTTGCATCATCACGTGATGAATGGTTCATGTTAGAGCACAGACACTTTAATTGGGAAAGATTTGGCATTTCTTCATCCCACCCCTTCTCCATCACAGAGTCACAGAATGGTTTGGGTTGGAAGGGACCCTAAAACTCATCTCATTCCAGCCCCTGCCATGGCCAGGGATACCTTCCACTAGACCAAGCTCCATCCAACCTGGCCTTGAACACTTCCAGGGATGGGGCATCATGATTTCTCAGTGATGGTCACTATTACATTTGTTCTTAGAGGTCAGCAGTAGTGGGTGAAATGAATTAAATGCATTTTCATTCCTGTTTGAGCTTCCTCCGTTACCACAACCAGGCCTGTCCAGTTAGAATTCCAAACCTGCTGGCTGACTTTCAGGGAAAAAAATAAGGCATGAAAAGCTCTTAATGCCTCTCATTGTTTTCTCCTTAGCATGAAAGTGATTCACTTATTTTCAAAAGCAGTGTTGGGATTGGGTACTTTAGACCATGGTTTGCTATAAAACTTCACCATGTCCTGCAGTGAAGTGAAAATCAGCAGATGCTGCTGGTTTAGTGGTGGCCTTGGCAGTGCTGGGAGAACAGTTGGACTCATGATCTTAAAGCTCTTCCCACCCTAAATGATTCTCTGATTCTATATGTGTTATTAGCCCTGTGGCAGTAATTATGGTTCCTCATTTGCCAGATGCTCTGATATAATAAGGAGCAAGATGAATTTGCAGGATATTGCTGGTTCAATTAGGAGGAAATGAGTAAAACCACAAAGCTGGGCAGAGACTTCTTCATTCGTATCTTTGCAAAATGGGGAGAGGCCTTCTGAAATCAGGAGAGCAGACTGAAGGTTTGCCTTTATTCATGGCTAAAAAGTGCATTAAGGCTTCTAGAACTCAGAGTCTTGCCCAGGGGCAAGTTTAGATACTTCCTGAAGTGTAGCTTGAATATTTGCATATTTTTGGCTGTGCATGAAATCTTTTCCCTTTGGTTCTGCAGTCTGAAACGTGTTGAAGCAGAATAGTATGTTTGGATTTTTGTAACTCGGAGGAGAATTGAACATGTGACACAATATACTGATTTTTCTGGCAAAAATTTTTTGCAGTCTCGATTGTCACGAAAATGTCAATATTTTTTCACAGCTATTGAGGCTTTGCTGGGATGTCATTCAGTACATGTGTCATTGCTGCAGCCAAGCAACAGGTCACTGTTTCAGTGTAAATGGTTGTTGTACTTGATGGTTTTTTTTTTTGTGGGCAAATATTTGTCAAGGATTTCCTTGTCTGGACAATTCTAAGTCATGTTTATTAATATGTGTGTCTTGTTGTGTTTTTTAGTAATCGTTGGAGGTCCCTTGGAAAACCAGTACAGGCTAAAGCAGTTCCACTTCCACTGGGGAGCTATAAATGACTGGGGTTCAGAGCACACAGTTGACAGTAAATTTTACCCAGCAGAGGTATGAGATAAAATGCTGAACAATGCAAACACTTGTCTCAGGTGTAAATATTTAAAGAGAAAATGGATTATTTAATTCTTCCAGCCACAGCTGTAACTCAAGAGGCCTGATCCTCCTTACCTTGTACGTAATAAATTTGTCTTGTGTATGTGATCCCCAGAGCCTTGGCTACTGTTCAAAAGTTTATTCCAATTATGGGCAATTTTTTTGGCATTTCTTAAATTATTAGAATGATGTACAGCAGAGTTCTCTGGCAATATGGTGGTTATTATCATCACTTTATTGTCTGTTTGCAACTCTTAAGCAGTTATTAAAATAGCAAAACTTTTGTGCTTAAGTGATGACTAAGGAAGAAAGAGTCAACAAAAAGGATGGAGAAAATGGGGAAAAATAGGACAGTGTGCTCTGTTCTTCCTGTTAAGAGAGGGACAATCCCTCCAGTTCCAGGAATACTAAGCTTTTCTTTTGTTCCTTTAACTAGCATTTCTGTAGCCAGTCTCCCACAGACTAAATCTCTTTCATATATGGGTCTTCACCTATTGTTTAAGGTAAAAAGAAATAAAAAGGGAAGGGCCATTTTCCAGTAACACTTTGTTCCTCATTTTTGTGGTGTGGTTTCTGAGGCAGCTCATTGCAGTGTCTCGTTGCCAAGGCCCAAATGTAGCCAAGATCAAAAGTGAGGTTTCTTTTCTGTGCTCTGTGCAGGTGCTGATTTCTCACATTTCTGTTTCAGTTGCATCTGGTGCACTGGAATGCTGTGGAGTACCCGACTTTTGAGGAAGCTGTGATGGAAGGGAATGGCCTGGCTGTTATTGGAGTGTTTTTAAAGGTAATTTCATAAGCTCTAGTGATGTCTTTTTGTTTGCATTCTGTTAAAACCAATTCAGGGCAAAATACAGCAGCAAAGGCCAAGGCAGGGTCCTGCTCCTGGGGAGGAATAACCCCAAGTAGCAGCACAGGTTGAGGACTGACCTGGAGAGCAGCTCTGCTGAGAGGAGCCTGGGGGTCCTGGTGGGTGACAAGTTGACCATGAGCCAGCAGTGTGTCCAAGGGCCAGTGGGATCCTGGAGTGTATTGGGAAGAGTGTTGTCAGCAGCTCAGGGAGGTGATCCTGCTCCTCTACTGAGCCCTAGTGAGGCACATGTAGAGTATTGTGTTCAGTTCTGGGCTCCACAGTTCAAGAAGGATAAGGAGCTGCTGGAGAGGGTCCTGCAGAGGCCACAAAGATGATGAGGGGTCTGGAGCATCTCTCTGATGAGGAGAAACTGTGGGAGCTGGGCCTGGTTAGTCTAGAGAAGAGGAGACTGAGAGGGGATCTCATCAATCCATACAAATATCTCCAAGAGGTGTCAGGGTGGTCCCAAACTCTTCTCAGTGGTGCCCAGTGACAGGACAAGGAGCAGTGGCCATAAACTAAAACACTGGAAGTTTCACTTCAACATGAGGAAGAACAACTTTCCATGGAGGGTGTCAGAGCACTGGAACAGCTGCCCAGGGAGGGTGTGGAGCCTCCCTCTCTGGAGACATTCCAAACCCACCTGGATGTGTCCCTGTGTCACCTGCTCCAGGTGACCCTGCCTTGGCAGGGGGGGTTGGACTGGAAGATCTCCAGAGGTTCCTTCCATCATTCTGTGATTACTGTTTTCAAAAAACGTATATTAAGACAGATAAGTAGAACATCAGCTTAATGATTCCTCAACTCCTCCCTGTCCCCTGCAGCTGGGAGCACGGCACGAGGGGCTGCAGACCCTGGTGGATGCCCTGCCAGCAGTGAAACACAAGGTCAGTGCTTTGAAGTGTCCCACTGGAGGTGGGTGGGGAATTTTTAAGGAGCAGTTGGGTACTTGAAGCTTTCAAAGCCTCTTGAAGAAATGAGTCACTTGAGGTTGTATCCCCTTGGAAGGGCACGCACATGTTTCACGCTTGAAGTGGTGGTTTATTTACTGGGGAATTAAGGCTTTTTGATTTTTGTCTGGTCTTTGAGGGGGAGATTATTAGCTCTTTTATAAACACTAAATTTTCTGCTACGGGAACGGGGTTCTCTTCCTGGTTGATTCCTGACTCCTGCCAGGAGAGGGAGTGCTGTATCTCTGATAGTGCTCAGGAGCAGCTCCTGCTCTTCCAGGTCCCTGTTCCCTCTTCAAAGTACACACAAAAAATACACGTGGGAAATTGTAACTTGTAAGCACATCCAGCTGAAGTCACTGTGCCACTATTTCTCACAAGAAGGATTAAAAAAAATTCAAATAAATATTTATGGCAGTGCAGTGACAAATAAACCAGAGGACCTACAAAATCTGTGCACATACATCCATTATTAGAATATAATGTTTTACAACATATGAATTTGAAAGAAACCAAAGTCCAGATATAAAAATAAAAGGTTAGTATCAAGCATCAGGCTCATCAAGCTGCATGTGGGCTGCTCAGAAAGGGATCTCATTTCCAAAGGCTGTCACCCAGCAACTCATCCATGCTTGGTTTAAAACGTTTGAAAATCTTTGTTGCCTTTCCAACATTATCACTGACTTAAGGACCAAATATCACCAGGGGAGGAGGAAGGTCAGAAAATATCTGTTCTCATGTCCTTCCTCCATCTAGAATCTCTCATCCAACCTTCCATTTTTGAACAATTCTTGACTGCAATATTTCTCATTCTCAGTGGGGAATGGATAAAGTGGAAAGGAAAAACGGGATCTTCCTTTCCTGCATTGCCAGTATATCCTCAGGAGCAATGTTTGTGTAGGAAATCCCAGGCTCTGAAGTTCCTGTGTGGTCTCTGATACCTCACTTGTGGGATTGCAGTTCTGGAGATGGGAATATTTGATATAATTCAAATAAAATTTTAGTCCTCTTTCCTCTCCCTCTTGCCTAAAATCACATGGTGAAAAGTAAAACACTGTTGTTTGCAGTCTTTTAAGTGTATCTGGCAGCACTACGTGAAGTTACTCCACCACTTATTCCTCCTTTTCCCTGTTTGCATCCAGCTCCCACAAAGCCACAGGCAGCTGCTCCTTCACTCTCCTTGTTTCTTCTGAATTCTTAATGGCCTGTGGGGACAATGGAAATATTTCAATTTTGTGTGCTCAGCAGCTGCCTCAAATCCCACAAATCTGTGGGATTTTATATTATATTTTTATGTAGATCTTTGTTAATATTCAGAACACCTAATTTCCCATAACATACGTAACATGTACAGTATTTAATCTCACAGTTAAGATATTTTTTAATCTTCTGTCGTTTTTTTCCTCAAAATACAATGCTTAAAAATATTTTTTCTTGGTGTTTAGGACACTGTTATCGAGTTTGATGTCTTTGATCCCTCCTGTTTGTTACCTTCATGTCCTGACTATTGGACCTACGCAGGCTCCTTGACCACTCCCCCTTTGACTGAATCTGTCACATGGATTATTAAGAAGAAGCCAATAGAGGTGGATGAAGATCAGGTAAATCTCAGGTTTATCTTTCATATCATTCCTGTTGCTGCCACAGAGAGGAAGATGCACAGAAGCACTTCCTTGCCAGCAATTCTCTGTGAATGCACAGAGGATTCAGGATTTGAGGAGGAATCCTGACATTACAAGAGCTAATGCTGAAAGACTCAAGATGTTTCTCCAGCTCTCCTCAACTTTGTCAGCTCTTCTCAAAGAGTTTTCTCTTGGTCTGTGATAATGCTGGAAGCTGCCCCTTGAAAACATCAGATGTTTTAGGAACTTCTAAGGTTATTTATTGGAGTGTAATTTTGCTCCCCTCACCAGGAGGTTTTTTGTGGAGGGAAGGTTTTGTGAAATTCCAAACTGAGCTTTGGTGCATGTTCTTGATGGCCACGTGCACAGAAATCTTGGAGGCACTGCAAGGGCTGAGTTGTTCATGTTATAAAAGGTATAAAGTAGATGCAGGGATAAGGAAGATGGTCAGAAGGAGAACTGTGCTACAATTGTGGGGTTTATTGGAAGTCCTCAGGAATTTTTTGCCTCTTCAAAGAGGTGGAGAGTACTTTGAGGGGCATCACAGCATAGAACAAGTGTTAGGAGTTTGCTGCAAAGCAAGTAAAAATGGACAGCCCCCAAAAATCTACTGTTTATTCATGGTTTAAAAGGAACTGAAAATGATCTGTGCATTGTTCCTGTTTTTTGAGGCTTTGATTAGTAATGAAGTGAGAATCCAATGACATGAGGCAAGAGAAATTTGGTTTCTTTAATACAGTTTTGCATGGAGCTTGTCCATCAAGAAAGTCATGCTCCAACCAAACACCAGCTCTGAGGAATAAACCTGCATGTGATTTTAATGTTTTAGTTTACATAAAGGAACAGGATGGGAAGAACTGAAGATTGTTAACAGAGCAGAGAACTGCAGACACAGGGTAGCAATCTTCTTTTAAATTGAAATTTTTCTCATTTTTTCCTTTTTCTTGGCCCTGTACTCTCATTCTTTTATGGCATAGCAGTGACTTAACATTGGAATGCCCTTGTGAGCATTAAAAGCTGATCTGCTGCATACCTTCTCTTAATCCCAGTTATAAACCACTGAGAGAACAACTACCTGGATTGTTGCTTGTTGATGTTCCCTCGTTCCTGGGTGACAGTGTGTCAGGAAGGGTGTGAATTAAGGCTGGGCAGGTTATTTCAAGATGACACATGTTCCAGTATCTGAATAGGAATCAGGTCTGTCTCAGACATGCCACATTTGGGATTTAATCTGCCTAAAGATGGCAGGTGACTGACAATTCCTCTTCTGCATTGACAGGGATGATGGGATAATCTTTGCCAGCGGGTGACAAAGAAGTGCCAGAAATTTGTTTGAAAATTTCTCAGAATACAAATGTAACAGTAACTCCCATTTTTATTCCCCCCCCCAAAGAATAAATGACTTTGTTTCGTCACAAACTCCTACAATCCCCCAGTTAGCCAAGTCACTAAAGTGGACATTTCTCCTTCTCAGCTGGAGGCCTTTAGGATGCTGCTCTTCACCTCAGATGGGGAGGAGGAGAAGAGGATGGTGGACAACTTCCGTCCCCTGCAGCCGCTGATGGACCGAACCGTGCGCTCGTCCTTCCAGGTCAGGCACCTCCTGGACACTGAGGCACAGCCCCAGGGCCACGCTGAGCAGGTCAGGCCATAGGTGTGGCCCATCAACATCAGGCTGCAGCACGTGGACATAATGTTATTTCTCATTATTTTCCCTTTTCCTGCAGTGTATTCCTGCACTTTCACAGCCAGCCCCAGTGGCAGTCCTGCTAAGTGCCCTTTGACCTTCACTAGAGAAGCTGTGAGGGTTTTTAGTTTTGCTTTTCTGAAGAAGTAAATAATATCAACCCTTAACAAATTGACTTGCTTTGAGACAGGGATCAGTAAGGAATTATTAAGACAACTACAGCTAAAATAACAATGGGAGAGCTCTTCCTCTGCCTGTTCTCTGAATTGTTCTGTGTATCTTCAAATGCTGTTTCAGTGCCTTGCATGAGTTAATAATCCTGGTCAAAAAGTTGTTAGCAAGGAGAAAGTGTGAAGAAGTGCAAAGTATTAACACTGATCAGGTGCTTTTGTGAATTTGTTTGAGATCTGAGAAGAGAACTGGAAGAGAAGTAGTTTCTCTAGTCACACATACAGAGACATTTTACCTTCTTCCTTTTTCCTTGGGTGAAAAGAGGAGAAGGACAAAAATGACTTGTAGAATAAAAGCTCTTTCCATTCTGTTGGCTGCACGATCCATGTTTGATGTGGAGGCTGCAGAATGTCCACTCTAAATACATCACAAGCCAGAATACCTTTTCTTAAACCTTTTAACAAATGTAGAAGCTTTTAGCTTTGGCAGCTTTTACTCTTCTGTGTTAATAATGTATCAGGAGAAGAGAGCAGAGGAGAATTCACCAGCATCTCAGGACTGGCAAGAGCAGCAAATTAGGTGAAAATGTCCAATTGATCTCAGAAAACCGATCACATCAAAGGAGAGCAAGATTAGATAAGGCCCAGCTGACCCTCCCAGTGGGATTTGGGGAAAAAAAGCCAAAACCAATCTCTGAAACCTGTGCTAGGACAAAATGCAGCCCTCAGAAAGGTTTTTGATTTCAGTAACTCACAGAGCACCAGTGCACTCTCTTCAGAGTTTTGCCTTAAGATGTATTGTCTTATAAAAAGACTTATCCAGCTTCAGGACAACTGGGGACCAGTTTGTATTTTTAGCACCTTATGGTAACGAGGTCCAGTGGTGGTTGAAATGTATTTGTGGACCAAACCAAGCTGCTGTGGAGCTGCCACCTGCAGAGTCTTATCCTGGAGCTGTGGTCCAATTGCCACGAGTAGTATCTACCTCTGCACATCCTACTACTACTAGGCCTGATTTTCTCTCAAGCACCTTCTTCCCTGGCTCTTTCTGCTTTGCTGGATGGTCAGATTTTCTGGTGAGGAGCAGGTCTGTCTGTAAACCCTGGTGTGATCTTGATTGATTGTGGTTTTGATTCTTGAGGAACTGATCTTACTCATTTGCTTCTCATTGCTGCTGTGATTCAGCACAAGGGAAACGTGACACTGGCTTGTCAATCTAAATCCAGAGCTTTAGAATTGATACTTTTATTTTTAAAGTCCAAGTGTTCAGTTTAAAAGCACTTTAACACTTTTTGGTGTGACCCTGATGATTTTAAAGTTTTGGAATAATCTTGTTTAACCAGTTAAGTGCCCCAATCCTGCCTTTGCTTCCTTAATAGCTCTACCTCAGGCTGTTGTTACTGTGCAACAGTTGTGCCTTTCTGCCCTGGCAATTTGGAATGTGGCCACTTAACTTTGGAGTGACTGTACATGGTAAATGGATGTTTTTTCTGTGTAGTGAATTCAAAATGGCAACATCTCTCTTTGGTTTCTTTGCTTCTCCCAAGCCCTCTTACTGCTTGGGTGAACCTTTCCATGTTGGTTGAACTGTACCATTTCTCTTTGGATGGGGCTTGGAGCAACCTGGTCTAGTGGAAGGTGTCCCTGCCCATGGAAGGGGCTTGGAACTGGATGATCTTTAAGGTCCCTTCCCACCCAAACCATTCCATGATTCCATGATCTCCAGTTTTGGCAATAGGAAAAAAGTGTTTTTACTTTTTACCCGAGTGTACATGGCCTGGTCATTAAGTTTGAGGTTTTTGTTCAGTGCCATTCTTGCAAACACTTCTCTGAAGAGGACCCTGTAGAAGGGTGGCTGTGGTTCAGATATTTTACTACTCATTATTAATAGGAAAAATTATAATATAAAGACATGTTAATGTTGCCTTATATTTAAAAATAGAGCAGACTCGGCAGCACTGGGCTATAGGTGACCTGCATCAATAATATCCTTATCATATATAATATATTCTAAAAAGCTTCATGCAATTGCTCAGTTTTTTAGTTGCCTTGGTAATTTTCACCGAGTTTTTGGGTGTCTCTGCTCCCAAACAAGCTCTGTCTGAGCTTGTTTCACTCCTGGGAAATACAAAATACAGATTTAGAGAACCACTGGGGTGTAAATGTTTAACCTTGAGGTGCTCTGTAATGCTGTGGTACCTCACACCCACCTGAGTTCTCCATGCTGAGGTTTGCTCCACTGAACCACAATTTCCTCCTGGCTGTGTAAATCTCTTTTAACACACCACCACCCATCAGAGGTGATGCTGAATATTCCCTTTTCCAGTGATCCATTTCAAGTTCTCATGGAGATTTACTTTGTTGAAGTATTGTCATTTACTGTTCGAGAATAGGTGCATTATGAAGTCATACAGGTACTAAGCTATACTCCATATTTAGATAAAATCACATCTGTTTTTACTGCCATAAAATTAATAAATTTCAATTTCAGCACTCATCACTTCAAATATATGGAAACAGGGTCAATGTAGAAACAATTAACTCTGCTACAACAATAAGTTTTCTGTTACAGTTATTTTGCTGTTTCTTGCACTTCTGTGCAGTGTTTTAGCAACCTGGTTAAGGCAGGCAGGAGTTCAGTTGCAGGGCAGATTGTTGTTGGAATTTTCAGTTTGGAAATGGACAGAAAGGGAATTTTGGATGTTATTTTAATTTTAACTTGTATGTTACAATGACTTTATTGGCCCTGTGAGTGCTGACTTCAAGGAAATAATTGTGTGCCTGCACATGTGTGTAAAACAGGAGATGGGGTAGAATTCTTTGCCCTTATTCTCTGTTTTGTGTGTATAAAAATGTTTTAATTGTTGGGTAAGAGCTGATATCTGTAATGATTTTGCACAATTAAGTGAAACTTTATTTGAAAGAGGAATCTTTAGGCTCTTTAGGATGGTACAATATGAAAGGGTCAAAGCACATATTTGTATTTTCCTTGCATAGTAGTCACTTTTGTAACTTAACAGTGCCCTGGGAGGCATTCCTGTGGCAATAAGTACTAGGAATTAAAGACTGTAATAGAAATAATTTTGGGAAAACTGACTGAAATGGGAGTGGAAGGTTTTTGAGTACAGACCAGTGTCTGTGTTGGCCTGACTTCCAGCTGCCTTTCAATATTCCTGTTAAATGCTGCTCTTATCTCAGTCTTGGTCACTTTGTGGTTGGAACAACTCCCTTTGGCATTTGAATGTTTGATCTGTATTCCTGCATTCCAGAACTTTCTCACTTCAGGTGTAACCACCTCGTACCCCTGACCATTCTTGTGCTGCCTTCTGCCAGGAATGACCCCAGAGCTGACAGGGGTGTCTCCCTTGGCTTTGAAAGCTCTGAAAACAGAGATTGCTTTGATCTCTACAGGGTTTTAAAGGACTGGAATTGTACTTTGGAGGAAGGGTCCGTTTGTGCCTTAATTTTGAATGTTTTAATTTGTGTTTCTTGGCACATCTTTGCTTTTTTCTTTGTTCATTGTGTTTTCGTGGCTGTTATTACATTTTGTATATTTTAATGTTTGTTATCTGCCTGATCATAATTTACTGAAAATAATTGTCTTAGGAGACAGCATCTGTAACAGGGAATGCCTTTTCCTTCAGTTTTTACCTGCTGTATAGAACCTTGTAGCTGCTGGATTTTACACTGTTACATTAGTGTGCAACTGCAATAAAGGACCAGAGAAACCTGTGCCTGGATCTCGTTGTGTAATTAAACTCTTCAAGTTAAAAACTAGATTTTTCTGTCAAGCAAATAATACAATTCCTCTTTGGGAATGACCCAGTTCATTAGGAGTGGAGTCTAATCAGCTGTCAGATGTGCTGTGATACTTCCAGGCTCTGAAAAGACTCTGCTGAATTGTGTTAGAATGGGAATGAAAGCACAATGCCCTCTCTGTTGCTGCTGTGCTGATGGAAGGGTAACTAATTATTTATTACATCCAGCCAGATGCAACATGCCATTTCCCAGGGGATTCCAGATTTTGAGGATGTTTGCTAAGCTCCTTCATTTGGCACTGATCATTAAACTGGACCTGTCAGCTGAGCTCCTTTCTCTGTTGTGTAATTGGCCTTGATAAAACTGAGCCCATGTGTGGTGTAACTCAAGAGGTTCCCAGTTTGTGGTTGTGGCTACAATAATCTGGTCAAATAACCCGTAAAATGAATTACTTACCACAATTAAAAATTGATACAAGACAGTAAGTTTAGATTAGATATTAGGGAGAAATCCTTCCCTGTGAGGGTGGGGAGGCCCTGGCACAGGTTGCTCAGAGAAGCTGTGGCTGCCCCATCCCTGGAAGTGTCCAAGGCCAGGTTGGATGGGGCTTGGAGCAACCTGGGATAGTGGAAGGTGTCCCTGTCCATGGCAGGGGGTGGGACTGGATGGGCTTTAAGGTCCCTTCCAACCCAAACCATCCTGTGATTCTGTGAAGATTGGCTAATTAGCTGAAATGAGCATTAATTTCTCTGTCTCACTGCAGAGCCATGCTTGGAGTTTAGCTGTCATAGAGAGAGGTTTTGCTTAGCTGAATTAATTCAAACAAGTTTCTACTTATTTTGATGGGAAAAAAATAGGGGATTACATTCCTGGCTAAGGAATCCCCCCAAAAATAATAGTAGATAATGCTTTATAGAAGGCCTCCCCAGTGGTGCTTTTTGGCAGGCAACGTATTGTGTTAGATTAAGAGCGAGGTCAGCTCTGCTGTTTTTACTATTTAAGGGTTCTAGAAGCTGCCACTACTTCCATTTACCCAAGAAAACAAACTTCCAAGCTCTTTGTTAGTGGAGCTGAGGTGTTTGCTGAAGAAATGGCTGGTCTGGTTCCAGGGGGTGGCTGGGTGTGATCAAGGCAGCCCTGCCGATACCTGGTCAAGAACATCCACATTACTCCTGACAAATGGCCAGTTTGCTCCTGCTCCTGGTAATTATTTGTCCTTCTGACAAATCCTTCCTTCCTTCCTTTTTGATGTGACAAACTCCGAGTGCCTGAGTATTAACACATGGAGAACTGATTGGATAATCAAATAGTCTTCAAAGATCCCGTGGAATAACTTGGGGGCCTGAGGAGAGTTAATGTTCTGATAATAACACTTGGCATTTGGGAAGTGCTTTGAAGATATAAAGCACTCTGGGAACACACTGGCAAAGCCAGGATTTTCTCAGGAATACAAATGGAGAAACAGTTGCAGAATTAACTCTGATGGATTAATTTGCAAGAGAGTCAAGTATGTGGTTGACTTGAAATGGGGCAGTTCAGTGGCTGCTATTCCACTGCCTCTGGATCCTGGGACTTCCACATTCTATTAAGAAATTCCCTTTTGGAAGAATTAGAAGAAGATTACTCCATCCTGTTCTTGTGAAAGTCAATGGAAATTTCTGGGCTAATGTCAGGTGTAAAATTCCACAGTCATCAAGCAGGTCATTGGGATTGTCCTGTGCAGGGCCAGGAGTTGGACTCCGTCCAAGTGGGTCCCTCCCAGCTCAGGATATTTTGATTCCAGTTAGTTTATTTGCCTTGAGGTAAGAGCTTGGCCTAGAGAACTGGTGGAGTAAATCCCTCCATGAATGATTCTCTTCACCCAAATACAGACCTAAATTGGAGCATTCATCTGGAAACACCTGAAGGATATATTTTATTTCTATCCCAGTCCTGTCTGCTGAGTCCAGCGTAACAAGGTCAACACAGAGACAATCCCTTAAGTTGTAACTACCTGATTTCATGGTCCTGTGAAAATTTTACCCAACATAAAGCATTAAATGCAGTAACAATTGCTTTAGGTTCCAGCCATAGAGTCTATAATGTTAAGCTGGTAGACTAAAGAAAGGCTTTTAGGGTTACAGAAAAATTCTGATATGTTTTCCTGTTTAATTAACTGTCATAGTCTTTTCAATCCCTTCAGGTTCCCATTTCTAGCTGAAAACTGGAAGTACATGCTTGGTGCCAAGGTAATTTTTTTCTAAGCTTTCTTTCTAAATGTGGATGTTTATATAAACCCAGCAGCAGATTTTTGAGCCCTTGGGCTGAGCAGCCACTAGATGTCAGGTTCGGATTAGTGCTCCCAGGATTAGGCTGCTCAGGATTCCTGGAATGGTTGGAAGTAGTGGTGATGGCAGTTACCAGTGTGAGGTACCTGAAAATGTTACTGAAATGTCACATCTTTCCCCAGAATTCCCATCTGTGAGGTATCTTGGAGAGAACCTTCTGATCCACCCACTGTCTGAAACATGGTCCAGGAGGATGGACAACTTTGAGTTTTGGAGCTTGGGCATGACTTCTTGTGTGACACCAACTAACCCCTGCTGAGAAACAGCTGCTCAGAGGTACCACTTCCACCTCTCAGTGAGAAGGAGTGTCGTTGGGAATCAGAGCTTCCAGGCTCAGAGCTCCTCTCCTATCCTACAAGGGCAAAAGGGAATCTGAATTTGGTAAAAAACTGGCTCCTTTGGCCTTATTGTAGTATCCAAGTGAGCCTCCTTGGATGCAAAACTTGCGCCTGCCCATTTTGCCTGCATGCTGCCAGATTGGTGAATTATTTTATATTTTTGGTTTCCAAACAAACTTTTTTGGTGATTTTGGCATCCAACATGGCAGTCAGATTTGAGATTGGCAAATAATTTTTTTTGGATGATTCTGGCATCTGCCATGACAGGCAGGTTCCTGCAGCGCCTCTGCAGAGATGCAGGTGATGCAGCACCGGGGACTTGGGTGGAAGGTGGATAGAAGAGCAGAGCAAGATGGGACTGGGGGGAGCTGGGAGACACAGGTTCTGCTGAACTGCAGGTTTAGACACACAGGGATCCGTTCTCCTCTTGAGGAACACACAGCCCATGCAGGCAGGAGAACGGATGGTAACACACACCTCCCCTCCGGGCCCCCCTGTACCCGGGGGCAGAGATGTGGGGTGGCCGCTTCGCTTCCCTTGTCCCCTCTTGGGGCAAGGGAAAGTCGGAGGGGGTGGGCATGAGAGAGATGCGCCGGTAGGAGCGGGAACCCCTGGTAAGGAGCGGGTACCGCCGTTAAGGAGCAGGAACCCCCGGTACCAGAGCGGGCACCGCCGGTAAGAAGCGGAGACCCCCGGACAGGAGCGAGTGCCCCCCCGTACGGAGCGGGCACAGCCGCTGCCCAGCGGCCACCGCGCCATCCCGGGGCGCTGCACCACCCTCCTTCCTCCTCCTCTCCTCCTCCTCCTCCTCCTCGTCCTCTCCTCCCCCCGGAAAGGAGCCCGGCCCCGCCGCCGCTCGCCGCCCACCGCCGCCGGAACAAAAGGGGCGGCCGATGGTGGCGGCAGAGCCGCTCCGCGCCCGCCCCGCTCCGCGCCCCGCTCCGCCACCATGTCGGGCAGCGGCGGCGGCCCCGGCGACAATACCGTGAAGAAGAGGAGCCCGGCGGGCTCGGCCGCCTCGCTGGCGCAGGATGAGGACAAGCAGGCGATGGAGAAGATGCTGGGGGCGGCGGGCGGAGGGGCGCAGGAGAACGGCTGCGCCCGCTCGCCCTCGCCGTGCGGCTCCGGGGAAGGGGTGACCCTGCAGCGCTCCATCACGCTGCTCAACGGCGTGGCCATCATCGTGGGCACCATCATCGGCTCCGGCATCTTCGTCACCCCCACGGGCGTGCTGCGGGAGGCCGGCTCGCCGGGGCTGTCGCTGGTGGTCTGGGCGGCATGCGGGGCGTTCTCCATCGTGGGCGCCTTGTGCTACGCGGAGCTGGGCACCACCATCACCAAGTCCGGCGGGGACTACGCCTACATGCTGGAGGTGTACGGCTCCCTGCCCGCCTTCCTCAAGCTCTGGATAGAGCTGCTCATCATCCGGCCCTCCTCGCAGTACATCGTGGCTCTGGTCTTCGCCACGTACCTGCTCAAGCCCATCTTCCCCACCTGCCCCGTGCCCGACCAGGCTGCCAAGCTGGTGGCCTGTCTGTGTGTTCGTAAGTATCATTTAATGGCTTTGAACTGATGGAGTAGGGCTAGATTGGATATTGGGAAGAAATCCTGCCCTGTGAGGGTGGTGAGTCCCTGGCACAGGTTGCCCAGAGAGGCTGTGGCTGCCTCATTCCTGGAAGTGTCCAAGGCCAGCTTGGGCAGGGCATGGAGTGACCTGGGATAGTGGAAGATGTCCCTGCCCATAGGACCGGGATGATCTGGTAAAGATCATCACTGATCTTTAAATTCCCTTCCAACCCAAACCATTCCATGATTCTGTGACCCTTTCTAGGTCTCTGCTGTCCTGCTACACGTGGCTCCTCATTCACCATCACCTTCCCCAAAAAGTGTGCTCATGCATCACTTTGGAGGAGATGCCCCATTTCTCCTGTGCTGTGCATACCGAGTTTTTCTGGCTGTTTTGAATGGCAGCAGTAGGAAATGTGGCCCCATCCCAAATAAATGCAGCGAAAAATCCCCCAAATGCCAGTTGCAGGTTAATGAGCCTCTCTGTATGCAGTGTGCAGTAAATACAGGGTGCATTTTTGCTGGGAGCTGGAATAGGATTTCTCGTGCTCTGCCCCAGGACTGTGTTTGGGCAGGGTAAAATCCCCCAATGCCCTGCAGTGCTGCGGTGCCTGGGATGGGTGTTGATGTGCAGAGAGAGGTGGGGATAAGGAGCACTTGGGAAATTATCTGTCACAAGCAACTGGTGCTGAACGTGGCCTGTGCTCAGTGCTTGGCTGGTTTCAGCACCAGTTGGGAGATGAACTATTTCTGGGCTGTGTGTGTGCTGATACCATGCTCAAAAACTGGTTTTATGGGGATTTTTTGGCTAGCAAACATTCTGTCTCACGAGGCGTTGCCTTGCAGAGAAGTTCAGTCACGCTGTGATGAATTCAGGGCACACAGATCTCTCTCCTGCTGCAGTTTTTGTCACGACACTGGTGTTTTGGAATCTGCAGTTGTGCTGCTCAAGCCCCATTTTCCGTTCCTCCGGTGAATGCAAAGTCACCCCATCCAAATTCCTCATCCTTTCAATACAGGACCATTTTCTGCCCTTCCCTCCTCATTTCCCATTCAGTCTGTTCTGCTCCACTGGTCTTTTTGTGCCTTTATAAAGGTGTATGTTGGGAAAGGATGTAATTTTTGGGAGGGCTTTATAAAGCATTTATTCACTGTACAAAATCACAGCCAGGTGATCTTTTTCTTTCTGCGTTTTGAAGTTGTGAAGAGAAGGTTGGTTGTTCATGCTGCCCTTTCCAAGGGGATTGTGTTAGATTCCTTCCCCCTCTGAGGATCCCAGGCATCCAAAAGCTGCAGCACATGGCCGTTATGGGAAGATATATTGTCTGTAAATATACCCACGCTGACCGAGGCTTTGGGAGGTAAATTATATGGCTAGTTAGTAATAATAGCATTAATAACAGACAGGGCAGTGAGTTGTACTTTCTCTGGGCAAGATTAAAACCTCCTCAGTCCCCACATCAATTTTTAGGCATGTAAGGGTATGTAGATAGGCATGTGGATTTGCATCCAAGTTTTTCACCAAGCGTAGGGCACATATTAAGGAAATATAATTATTCAACTAAGAAAGCTGCACCAGGGTTAGGAAATAGTTCTGCTCATGGGTGCCTTCCTTGCCTTTTGGAAATGTGGTTTTAGAGCTTTCTTGCCAGTCTGCATTGTGGTTTCCTCAGGGACCCAGAGGAGCATGGCACAGATGAATGTGGCATTCCCATTCCTTTCTGAAAAGCCAAGGAATTAGGGTATTGATTAGAGGCTTTCTTACTACCTTATGGCAAAGTTTTGCTGTGCAAGCACATGTTGGAGTTGCCAAAGCCTTTGAGAACGTGTTTCCAATAATAAATACCTCTTAATCTGAGGGATCATTCCCAAAACAGGTAGGAGGAGGTGTCTTTTCACATTTTATTGGTCAAACCCCAAAGCAGGGGTTAACTAGACTTGCCCATGGTGAGATCTGTTCCCTGACAGGGTGGATTGCAGCATCCAGCTTCTTGAAGCCAGGTCTCATTCCTGTTCCTGCTTCTCCAGTAAATGTCTCCAGCTTTCCTTTGCTGGCAATGAGGAGTTTCCCTGAAGCAGAATTTGTTCTTGAACCTTTATCTTGAAATGCCAAGGAAAGAGTTTTGAGTTCTCCAAATCTCCATCAGTTCCATGTGTTTCTCCTTTAAACTCCACTCCCCCCACACTGCTGGCTCCTGTTTTGTTTATGCTTTGGGTCAAATTTGGGGTTGTCTCCTTTGCTACAAAAGGTTAGTTCATCCTGCATCGCCTTCAGCAAGTCAGCTTTGGTAACTTTGATTTTTTGGAATTAGCTTTTCAACTCTCTGCTGCCAAAACCACATCATGGGCTAGGAACAATAAATGAAGTAAATCTGCTCCAAGGACTCAACAGCCACACAACACTTGTGTGGACTAACAAGCAGTTTTGTTTCATGGTTGTTCCAAACATCAACTACCCAGGGAGATACTTATTTCTTTTCAAAAGCAATAGAATAGAAAAAATGACCTATTTGTGCATATGCTGTAGCACATACATTAATGAGTTATCTCAAAGAAGGAAAGTGCAGTTTAGGAGACAATAGAGGAATTTGGGACTGGGGGCTGGAATTCAGTATCCATAATCCAGTTTTCTAGAGCAGTCCCAGCTCTATTCCTTGCAAAGTTTGTATCTCAACATGAAATGCAGTTGCTGCACGCTTTCTAGTAAGAGGAGAAATAACAGAAGTTATTTGTTTCCCGTTTACTGGTGTTGAAACAGTTGGATAAATAATGTACTGTTTGGTATTTGCCACAATGAAGTCCAGAGACTGTATTAATGCATTAAGAGACTCCAAATCACAGTCTTGAATGAAAGAAAAAAAAGTGGTTGGAATAGGGAATTGCCTTCTCCTGAAGGTGCCGAGGAAAACAAGGTGGGTGGTGAGTGGAATTTAACTACAAATAGGTGTTTTTTACTATGAAGATTGTAATCTACACACAGTTGGCATGCAAGACTTCTTTCATGAGACACCATGAATGCTTGTTAGGTTTGCCAGATAAAGGGTGGGAATTCACTACAGGGAAGTCTTCCTGTAGGAAGGTGGGCCAAGCTGTTCCATCATCAGCCTGGTTCATTTGTGTTCACCACGAACCAGCCAGTGCTCCTTGGGTGTAGGAATTTGGGTAGCAATTTGGCTGAATGCTTGTCAGGCTGCAGATTATTGATAATTCAGAAACTTCAGCATCTTCTTTTAGCTGTGAGATTGTATGGCTGATATTTTTAGAGCTGATAAATCATAACAGCAAATGCCAAGGGACAACAAGCACGAAGTCCACCATGTAGCCAAGAGGAGCAGAAAAACTTAAAGTCCATGGAACAGAGTTTGTGCATGAAAACCCAACAAAAACCCAAATCTGATCTCATCTAAACCAGTTTTATGCCTTCTATAGCTGATGAGGGACAGCCATTAGGTCCTGACTTTGCATATTTGCTGTACAGTATCAACGTTGGACATGGCAAAGATTTAAACTACGGAGGATTCCACGCTCTCTGTCTCGGGTGCACGTGGGTCAGGTTCTCTTTCACAGCTGCCACTTGTGTTAACATTTCTTAAATTCAACTGATAAATCTTAACAAAAATCCTTAAAAATCACAGCCCAGCACACCGTGTGTGTTCTAGAGGTGGCTCAAGGATGCAAATTGCCCAGTTATAGAGCCCATGGCTATTCCTTTTTTCCCACATTATTTTGCAGATTTCCTGCTTGCACAGAAGCGCCTTCTCATGTATTGTGAGGTGCTTGAGTTGTCATACAGTAACTTAATTCCCTGTAGATAAGGGAGGCAAGAGATAATGCTGCTATTCCATAATTTACCCATTTCTCGACAATATAATCTGCTTCCCAGAAGCTTGAGAAACAGGGAGTTGGACTTGATGTTTCTTGTGGGTCCTTTCCAACTCAGGATAATCTGTTGCATATAATTTTGTTCTTGATCTGCAGTGTCAAATCAGCAGTTTGATTGTTTGCTGCTGAATTCTTTTCTCACTTGTTAATTATATGTGCAAATCTGGCATTACTAACCCCAGCACAGCAGTATCTGCTGTTTCCAAAGCCACAGTATTTTAATCTTCTTCAAAATTTATTTAGACTTTCTTTGCTGCTTCTGAAATATTATTTTGGGCACTCCTCCTGCAAGTGTGGAATTCCGTGGAAATGATGATGAATTCCTCATTTGTCTCTTTTGTTTTGAACAGCCAAATAGTGAAAGAATTAGTAGCAGCCAGAGCAGAGCTGAGTCATGTCTAATAGCACATGTCATGTGGAAGTGCCTGACACTCCTCTGAGTAACTTGTGAGTTAGAGGAGAAGGGAATCAAAGCCAGGCTCTGGCAGAAGGGTACAAACACACCCCTGACCTCTTGCCAAGTCACAGCTGTGGCCATAAGTGAAGGTTCAGTGTCAGCATCTCCCCCAGAAGTCACAGATGTTGAAAGCAGGAACATCTTTATTTGGCATTAAGGTTTCACTTCAAATCTTCCAAGCTCAGCTCTTTGCCCAGGTGTTTGAAGTGAAGAGGTGGATTTTCACCTCATAAAGTATCAGCTGTTGAGCAAGGCAAACACAAAATATATCCCATCACATCCCTGTCTGTCTCAGAGGGGTTTATTCTACAGCATCTCTACTTTTAATTAATCTGCCAGGACAAGCCGGGTGTGAAGCTTTGAAGATTTATTTTTCTCTCCTCCAGAAAGGTGGATTAAGTGACTAAAGCTGCATCAATAAATAGGCCCTTGCTTGATCAGAGTGGAGGGAAAGGGTCTGTAGAATCCCTGCTGGATGGCAAATGCTGCAAGGCTGAGCTTGCCTTTTTAATCTGCGTTTAATTAGAGCAGCGTTAATGAAAACAGGCTCTGACACTCGCAGAACCCTCCTGAAATCAATGAAGGCTTGGAGGACTCTTGAAACAGAGGCACTTACAGCACCTCTTTCTTGGCTTTCAG